ATTATTATTTTTATAAGCATTGTATTTTTCAAATATTTTTGGGAAGAAAAAAAAATGTTTTAGTCCACATCATCAATTTTTTCCATGTGGCATTCTATTGATTAGCGTGTAATAACACGTCGACAATGAAAAAGAAAAAAGACAAAATATTTAACAGATTATAGTGCCACTGTGTCACTTAACTGACAGAAGGACCAAAAAGGGGCCGGATTTTGAAATTTAGAGACTAAAAAGGGGATTTTTTAGGTACAGAGACTAAAAAGGGGCTTTTTCCTATAGTAGAGGGACCAAAAAGGGTATTTAACCATGATTTTTTTGAGTAGGAAGCAGTTTAAAGATGTTGTTCTAGCACACTCTATTTATGTGAAAAGAGAAACAATCTTGAAGAAGAATGATAAAAAAAGAGTTAGGGTTGTATGTGCAGATAACAGGTGCAATTGGGCTTTGTTATTGTCCATTGATGGTAGGACAAAAAGCTGGATGATAAAAACTTACAAAGATGAGCATACATGTGGTTTGAGTTGTAATAACAAGAGGGTTAAATCAAGAATTTTAGCCAGACACTTCATTAAGACAAGGGGCATTTTAGCTACTACACTTTCCCAAATCAATATCCAAGAAGCAATTCATGAGGAAATCTATCTTGAGATCAAAATGAGTCAAGCTAGAAGGACAAAACTAATTATTGTTAGAGAGTTTCAAGGCAACTGTGAGCAAGAATATAAGAAATTATTTGATTACAAATTAGAGCTACTGAAGAAGAATCCCACTTCTACATTCGAGATTGATGCAAGGAGGCCTACACCAAATTCTAAACCTATTTTTTTACGCTTTTATGTCTGCTTTGTTGCACTGAGAGAAGGGTTTATAACTGGTTGTAGACCAATACTTGGTCTAGATGGTGCATTTTTAAAAGGTCCTTGCAAGGGTCAATTACTATCTGCAATTGGAAGGGATGCAAATGATCAAATGTATCCAGTTGCTTGGGCCATTGTGGAGGGTGAAAGCACAAGCACATGGACATGGTTTTTGGAGTTTTTGAATCATGATCTAAAAATTGGTGATGGAGAATATTATACTTTTATATCGGATCAACAAAAGGTAAATTTTTATGTCTTATTGATGAATTATATACTTGTGCAAGCAATGATTAAAGAAAGTAATTTATCTTTTTCCATTTTGTAGGGGTTGATTAATGCTATCCAGAATTTGTTCCCAAAAGCACGTCATAGAAGATGTACTCGGCATATTTATGCAAATTTTAGAAAGGAACACAAGGGTAAGCCATTGCAAAGATGGTTTTGGATCACTGCCAAGTCAACAAATGAAGCTGAATTTAAGAGGAATCTCGAGGAGCTCAATAAATTGAAGCCTACAGCTAAAGATTATGTGATGAAGCTAGACCCAAAATTCTAGTGTAAGGCATTTTTCGATACCTATGCAAGATGTGATGTAGTTGACAATAACATGACTGAAGCTTTCAATGGTTTCATTCTAGATGCAAGGCATAAGGTTCCTCTCTCATTGCTAGAGGATCTTAGAAGAAAGTGCAGCAAAAGGAACATTGAAAAGTTGGAGTTTGCTGAGAAAAAATTCAAAGGTGATTTTGGTCCAAAGATTTGGGAGAAGATTGAAGACCATAGAGATGTCAAGATGCCATATAAAATCACAAGCAAGATGGCATTATAAAGTACAAGAACGACCAGATTCCTTTCTAGTCAATCTTCGAGACCAAACTTGTAGTTGTAGAGTTTGGCAACTCAATGGTATTCCCTGTAGAAATGGAATGCTTGTCATCCAGCATAGGCACAAGAACTATGAAGATTATATGCACCCATGTTATAGAAAGCAAGCCTACATTGACACATACAAACATGAAATAATTCCTATTGATGGAATGCAATTGTGGGCTGATTCAGGGATGCCTGAAGTTGATCCTCCAATTCCAAAAAACACATCAAGAAGGCCTAAGAAAAAGAGGCATATAGAAGAATGGGAAAAAACTAGTGGATCAACCTTGAGTAGAAAGGGAAGGGTAATGACTTGTCAAGTATGCTTCAAAAAGGGTCACAATTCAAGATCATGTCCAAAAAAAAAAATCCAAAAAACTGCTGTAAGTTCCAAACTATTTTTTTTTATTATTGTCGAAATTTTTATTATGTGAAAAATTAATTTGAGTTGTGTGAATTATGTGATAGGTTGAAGATTCTTCAATAAATGCTCAAAATCAGGTTCCATTAGATGTCCAACCAGCTGCTAATGTTCAACCAAATTCTAATGTTCAAGCTCTTCTTAGTGTTCAACAAGTTTCTAACGTTCAAGTTCCTGTTATTATTGAATCACATTCTGATATTCAACTTCCAGTAGGAGCTCATCAAAATTCTGATGTCCAACTAGATCCGATAGCTTTTGAGTCAACTGTGATGGTTTCGAAAAAAAATCATTCAAGGAAAAAATAGATTGCAAAGAGTGTTGAATTGAGTAAAATACCTAAAGAGTTCAGTTCAGGAGAACAAGTAGGTCAAGGATGAAAAAGTGTACTCCGGTAGTTGAAGATTCTTGTGTGAACAACTCTTTCAACATTAATGAGAATGCTGCTGCAAGCAATACTACTAAATCACAGAAGAAAAATGGGGAAAAGGTCTTGATATTTATGTTTTATTTCATGATTTTACTGGTTTTAATGACTTTAGACTTGTTTCTTTTACCATTTGTTTGACCAATTTGGGTGTAGGGTGTTGCAAATCAAAAGAAAAAGCAAGCCAAAACTAAGAAAAATGAAGCTCTTACAGTGACTTTACAATCTGTCCAGTTGAATGCTGATATTTTTAGCTTAGATATTGGCAACTTACAAAGTGTTATGAGGACTACCACAGTGAGCATGGAAGAAAATATAGTGTCTAGCCAACCACATCAACCAATTAAAAGACAAAGCAACATACCAATAGTTAGATGTGGGTGCTAGTCATGTGATTTGAAATTTTAAATAGCATCTATTTTAAACTCTTTGTTTATATTTATGTTTTATTTCATATATTTTACTTGTGTAGAGTTGCTATTATTTGTAGGCTGAAAGATGTGCAAGATTAAGGGCCATAAGACAAACAAGGTTGGATCAAATGGAGGCTGCTGACTGGGGATCCTTACTGCAAGAAATCAGTGAAGGAAATGGTGGAGATGCTTGAAATTGAGGGGTGATGACCTGTTTTGTTCATGCTGTGAATTGCTACTTTAATTCTGAGGATGTTGATTTTTGGGACTTTATGGTGTTAATGCTTGCT